TAATTATGATATCAGCCTGTGGGGTTGTTTGTTTTAGTCATTTTAACATGCAACAATTATGAAATGTTGACTATTTAATCAGATAAATATTAGTATTTGAGTCATAAAGCAACAATTATCAAAATCATGTAGATGTTATGGCTTATGGTCATATATTCTTGGCCAATCCAGATTTGCCTAGGAGATTTGAACTCAATTCTCCTCTTAATAAGTACAAGTGTACAACATATAGATATTTTGCACTTTTTAATCTTGTACTTTTTAAATTTGTTGTTAGTTACAGTAATTATTCATTTTTAGAGTCTGATAAATTGAAATTTTGTTGATATTAATGTGGAATTTTTTTCCCTTGATATTATTGCTATTTGAATGAGTTTCATGGTATTTCACATGAACTTTCATTTTTTTTGTGCAAGAAAGGAGTTACTTGGATGAAATCAAAACTTTTAGGACCAAGCAGTAGATATCAGTCACCTAAGGATTAAAGTGCGCAGAAACCAGAAGTTAGGAATCAATACTGTCATTTTGCCATAAAATAAAATTGCGGTTGGGCTCAAAAGTTATCCACCAATTTAGTAGATGTGTCGCACCTTGAACAGGGTGTCGACGCCCCTTGGGCAATTTAATAGCCATTGTTATTTTGGTGTGGTTCCATATCTATGCCAATTAGGTTTTCTATATTGTTATAAATATTCATTTAAGATTAGAATGGAATAGTTTTTGGGTTTTGGAGGCTTTTGGTGACCCTCTTTAGTCACTTTTAGAGACCAAATTAGAGGTGGTAAGAATTCGTTAATAATAAAGAAGATTAAAGAAGTTAATAACCTCAAATTAAGTTTTTTTCTTGAGTTTATTCTTTATTTTGGTATGGATTCTTGGTTCATAATTAATATTCTATTACTTCTATTATAAACTAATTTTAGCTAACTAAGACTACGACATGGTCTAATTAATTTAATATAAATTTTTATGATTTTTATACTTTTAAGATTACTATTTCATGAAGAGTATATATATTATTATTTTTAATGTTTGATCACCATTAAAATTTATTTGAAAAGTATAATTAAGACTAAAAAGAGATTTTATGTAATAGTTTTTAATAATATATACCATGAATCGGACAAAAATCAAAGATGAAATAACGTGAGTTGTGCAATATTAATAATAAATGAGTTTTATTTTCTATTTAAACTAAGGAATTTTAAAGAACATAATATATCTTTATTTATTGAAATTCTTATAAAAATATAGTGGATATTTAATAAATAAAGATAGGTTGTTATAATTTGATAAAATATATCCAATATGATAAAAAAAACTCTGCTATTGCATGATTAGTTTACATTCTAAAAGCATAACAATCTAAAACCTATGTTAATTGGTTATCGTAAGATTAGATACCTTAGTACCTTATATCTTGGTGATTTTATTTTAAATTGTTATTTTCTTTTAATTAGTTTTAGTTAGAAAGTCTTCCTTTTTAATTATTCAAATAATTACATAATTAGTTATTTTTAGTTTAGACATAATTTCTATGAGAACGATACTTTATTTACCACTTTATTACTTGAGCAACTAGAGCACTTACTAGTAATTTTAGTACATCAGAGTCCACTGCTTGAGTTTCATGAAATGAGATCAATTATTTCCATTCTATATGCAGCCATCTGCAAAATGTGGTTTGGTCCATATGAACTTGCATTATGAGCATAGAACGGTATGACATTCTGTTGTCTCCAAATCTCTATTTTTGGTCTTAGACTCTTAGCACATGTTATTCTACAAATAAAATACATTGATAATGTCCTGAGTGACTTTTTTTTTAACTCTTTGGTCCATTCTGTTGCTAAGAATGTGTATGTTTTTTGGGAACTCAAAAAGAATGGAGAATTGCAGATTCTACGGTAATAATTCTACAGCATAAGTGGATACAATAAAAAAGCCAAACGGTGTTAGCTTTCGTCTACCATGCCAAATTAGTTATATTAACTTCATTTTGTTCAACATAATTTTTTTTAGATTATAGTCAAAGTGTTTTTGGATTAATTTTTATATAATTTAAAACTAATTCTTTTTAAGTAATTTTAAAACGATATTCATCACATTGACATAGTATATTTAAAAAAATTAATATTTTTAAAGGCTAATCTAAGATTTACTGTTCACAGGTGCAAATCTAGGGGGCCTGAGTCCAAGGTGTCAATATCAAGATTGCAGTGCAAAGTTGCGGTGTCCACACGTTTGCACGCGGAAAGGGTCTGGAACGTTCTTGAGACGTCCCTTCACGGCGGATGAAGTGCCAACACGAGGATTATACAAAGGATTTAAAGTGTCGACACCTAGGTGCAATCCAGTGCTGTCAAGGACTCTCTGTCAGGAGTGCGGTATTGAGCTGCCAACAGAGGCCTGGGTGGGCTTGTTGGGCCAAGCCTGAGTCTAAAAAGTACTAGGCCATTGTACATAATTCTAGAATTATATAGGCTAGGATAGGAATGGAGACTTAGGAAGTCTGCTATAAATTGTACACATGTTGAAGTTTTGGGAGTATTCTAGAGCTTTTACCTACAGGAGGTGGCTGGGGGCAGGCCTCTAGTAACACTACCTTGCGGACTAATACTCTTTTCTTCTCCAAAGGGCTTACTTTCGTGTTTCATGTGTTGCGAACCTTATAGTCTAGTGGACCAACATGCCCGAAATGCGATGGGAAATGGGGAATCTTGCAAAACAGATTTTTCATACTTGTTTCGGTCAATGTGCCTAACCGAAACATGCAGGAAAACTATCTTGCAAAAAGCAATGTATGTTTCAATCATGAGGACTGACCGAATTACTCCCAACATGCTTGAACTGCCATCAGCTCTAATCAAGTCACTTATAGAACGTTGTTTTAGTCAAAATTTTTAACCGAAACAGTAAAAAAAAAAAAAAAAAAGTTGATCACCACTATTCAAGTTACTGTGCAACTTTTTATTTTGGTCAAGAAATTTGAT